AGTTGCATTTTCATGGTACAAGGCTCCTCGTCTTCCAAACAATTCCTTGGTGTCTTCGGAATGCGTTCCAACTTCTTCGCCAAAGCCATCGAGGCGCACTCTCCGCAAGGTCGCAATAATTTCAAAAGCCGGTTGAAGTCGTATGTTGGGTCATCCTGGATTGTCAGTCATAATCTGATATGAGTTCCTCCAACCTGTAAACAGCATAAAAGTTCTCTTTGCAGCACTATGACAGGCCTTACCTCCAGGCCTCGACTGAAGCGTAACAAGTGCCTATAGTCGTCCTCACCCCACTAGTCGGTCGGTGGACGAATTCGAATTCCAACTGGAGCAGGCAGGTCGCGGCAGAGCACGGCATCTTAGCTCTCCGTTCAAATTCACGCATTCACTTCGCGTATTTCTTCGCCATTGCTTGGCAGTTTTTGTATTGTTACAACATTTTTGATCTATATTGAGTCTTTGTAATTGCTGAGCGTTGTCTCCTGCCGCGCTCTGCCGTGACAGGCCTGCTCCAATTCAAATTTGAATTCGTCCACCGACCGACTAGTGGGGTGAGGGCGACTATAAGAGGACCTTTGCGAATAGCAAGTATCGCTGATGCTGAGGTGCACACGCGACTAGACCTCGAAAGCAGTCACGGCAACAGCAACAGATCATGCTTCTGTGGAACTTTTGCACAGAAGACCGTTCACACGAGATTCATGCACCACAGAAGACCGTTCACACGAGATTCATCTAAAGTCTTTGCTTCAGAAGGGAAGGACCCCCGACCAGTGGAGAATCTCAAGGACCGTCTTTTTAATAAGGGGGCAAACGGGAGTATCGCAAAAACTATCGCCCAGTATGAAGTGTGGTGTGCATCCTTTCAACAAGATTGCTCGCGTATCAAGAAAGGTGGATGGAGCACACTCCAAGAACAAGCTGGCTCGCCAAAAGCTTCAGCTGCAAAGACCAATCCAGACGGTTCCGAGGGCCGTGGAAATCTGCAGGGAACACAGGCTGCCTCTCGTCCCTAACCTTCGCAGATTACGAGACAGCTTTGAACAATACCGAAACCGACGGCATCCTGTCAGTACTCGATTAAGGGATAAACTCCGATTATATGAGGACACAAACCGATTGTAACAGGGAATGCACACGACGATGCCTTATTCCATCACCCTCTCCAACCATCGCAATTGGGAGGGGGACCGATATGGCGACACAAACTCCCCGAAGATGTTCATCGCGGCCTTGCATTGGGTGAGTTGCAGGGACGAGGGAGGCTACAAGATGATGGGAGATTCTCTCAAACAATCGCTTTGGGAAGACGACATCAATATATTTTCAAGCAGTATATCAAAAGAGCAGGAACTGATACTGCTCAGGGAACAAAGTGAATTAGGAAAGGAGACCGGCTTGCGATTAGATTGGAAGGAGATTCATTTCATGAGGAAACCCTTTGCGAAGATGAGGAAGTGGAACCGGAAGGAACCAACATCACGGAGACTTCTTTTCGCTTGTATATTAGAGTTCCATGAACGTAGAGAACAATTTGAAGGAAACATATATTGGGAGAAGAAGAGCAGCCCGAGCCTTCCTCAAGCCTGTAAAGAAGCCACCGACCAACTGAGAGACCCAGAACTTTGGGTCACCTATTCGACTTAACCGTTCTCCCGCCGCTCCGTTGCGCAGTTGAGACTTGGCCAACACTGTAACCACGTCGAAAACTTTACGGACTATCCACTGAGCGCTCGAGCCTAGTCGTCTGAAGACGACCCAACATCCTGTCGGACTCTTCGCAGTAAGGATATGAAAAGCCCCGTCCTCGCGACTTAGCTGAATACCTTGCGAAAGCGAAGCATCGATGGGCCGGTCACATTATGAGAAGAACAGACGATACATGGACACTAAAGACTTCGGAATCGACTTCCCGCACCAGGATCGCGAACACAGCCACCCACATTAACCAAGAAGATTGCGGATTGACTATGCGTGGCTTGCTCTCTCGCGGCCGCTACAGTACAGCTTGTTTAGGAATTGTAGGATCTTGCAACGAAGAGAATTCCTTCACGAGAGTCCGGCGACAGCTTGTGGGGGAACGGTCAGGAGTCACGGTCGGCGCGAATTTTTCGCGAAGCGATGCCGCAATCGATGTCAGCAAAACAAAAGCCAGCACTCCTGGCGCAGTCTTACTTATGGCACGAGTCATGTATCTGCCGAGGGACCGTAGATTCGCCCGCAGGAACGATTACTTTTGGATTGGAGCAGGAATCCTCCGTAGAGCACCCTATCCTTCCAACGCTGATTTTGAGGATGCGCTTGCCAAATAACTCAATGTTACGTCTTGCAACTCTACTACCGCAACTCTAATCCCCGTATCAAGCTTGCCGAGCGACTTTCTTTAATCGTGATATGCACTGACTTTTATCAGTGAAGTTTTTGCGCTCGGATGTTCTACACAAACATCGAAATGTTTGCCACTTTACGGCTAACACTTATTTTGCAGACGCTCTTGCAGCGTCTGTCATTTGAGCGGACTTCTTCAAATGCCATGCTTGGCAACAGAAGTCTATCCGAGAATATTTGAATCGGCAACAAATTTGTGCAAGTTGTGTGCATTATCAACTCTCTGTCAGATAAACGTGGAACAAAGACTGATTTCATGAGGGCATCGCAATTCAATGCATAAACACTAGAGCATGAAGAATAGAAAATACATCGCAGCGCTTTATTGCTCCGAAAAGGAGGACATCTCACAGTCAAGCTCTGCCATGATTTGCTTTGTAGTATTTCAGATTTACTTGAACCATTCAGGCCTGTTGTAGAATCAAGTTTTCTCCTTTTGGTGTAAGGCACATTTGATACAACAAACTTGCATTATGGCCCCAATCCTCATATTTCAAGTCACCCAATAATTTACAATGCAGATTTCCAGATTTGAGAAGAGCATTGATTCAGGAAACAATTTTGTGCCAAGTACCAAAAATCAGGTATGATTGAGTCTATTGACGTTTTATCTTGTTCTTGTAAATCTGACACACTGCAAGGGTTGACATGAAAACTGGATTCATAGTTCAAGTTTTTTGAAGGTGACATTTGCAATTCTTATTGCAAACGGTTTCGATTAATGGTGCGTACATTTTCGACAAACTAAGTCGTAAAACCGAAGCATCGGCATTTCAAATTCTTTTGCAAACTTATATTCTTGGCGAGCTTTGAAAAATGAAGTTCAGTGGCCTTTTTCCCCGCTTACATTTCTGTGACCGTACCGTAGCAGAAAATCGCCAAGATTACCATAAGTCTGACTTTTTCAAGTCTGACTTTTCTCAAGTATATTTGTATGTATATTTGTATAAGGCAAATTCGCCTGGATGATGCAAAAAGTAAAAATTTTTCAGTGAAAAGGAGAAAGTTCTGTGCATCTGATACTTGAATTAGCCTTTCAGATTCAAGCAGTATGATGTATGGTGACAAAAATCTACAGCACATCCCAAAATAATGTGCACACTGTATGATCGTTAATAACTCTCTTGCCTTCATGTCTTCTTGAAGAGGGCTGTATATACAAATTTTACGGCGCTGAAAGACTTTGACAAAAGCACAAAAGAACAAATCTTGCCCGCTCTCGAGAAGTCACAGCAAGAAGACGACGATCAACCGCTGATTAGGGCGCAACATTCACAATCAGAGACAAACTACGATGTTAAGAAGCTGGTACAATCATAGTTTCCTAGTGTCACCTTTTTCGCAAGAATTTCGCTTATAGGCAGACTCCCCGATAGTCAAGGCATTCAATGAAGCTGAAAGGAGACGGTTGTCCAGATCGAAAAAGTGATATCTACTGAAAAAAGGAAAAAGCAAATCAAACTTTTATGTACAAATTCGAACCGCATTAGTAAGGAATTTTGTACTTGATGCTGATAGTAATGGAAACCTAGTGCTTGAGTAACTCATCTTATGCTGTAACTCTGCGCGGTTTCCCAAAATCAGTTTCCGCTGGCGATACCCATTTGTCCAGATTTGCCTGCACGCCGCTTTCAAAGAAAGTGGCTCGGCAAGCTTGATATGGAGATTAGAGTTGCGGTAGTAGAGTTGCAAGACGCAACATTGAGTTATTTGGCAAGCGCATCCGCAAAATCAGCGTTGGAAGGATAAGGTGCTCTACGGAGGATTCCTGCTCCAATCCAAAAGTAATCGTTCCTGCGGGCGAATCTACGGTCCCTCGTATCTGCCCCCACCCCCCACCCCCCTAGACTGGCGCCATGCCACTTTAGCTCCGGGCAGTTTTATGGGGTACAAAATTTAGACGCGACGTGCGCGGCGAAGCGGCGCGGCGCGCGGCGTGACTCCTGACATGGAGCCCAGCTTGTGGAGGGGAAGTCCGCGAAAAATTGACTACTTCGTAATTGCACAACGCACTATTCGACGCCTAGATTAACAATCTCGACTGATTTTTTTTTGGAAAGCTCTTTGCATTTTGGTTGTACTGCCTAGGTTATATGAATAGTAAGACTATAAACTCAGTATAGAGGAAATTCTCTTTTTTTGCAATGTGGGTGTGGAAGTGAGGTTGAGTGTTACTCTGAGTCGGATTCTGAAGAACCCATTGTTCACTCTTTGTTCATTAGGATTGCATTCTTCCTGTTATTAAAGATTATTAAAGAAACTCCCAGTTTCACTTCTAGATATTAATGGCCAATGTAAATTTTTGATATGTATTGTTCTTTGAAATCTGAAACTTATGTGGTGTTGAATTGTCTCTGTTTACATTAGACAGAATTGAAGCAATGTTTATGGTTAAACGTAGCTTTGATGTTTGCAATCGAATGTAGTTCATGTCTTTTTTGGACGTCGGTCACGGAATCTATAAACGCGATTTTCAGTGATCCATTGATCCGCCAGTAGAACAGTGATCGATCCATAATAAATCATATTCATCCAAAATGCAAACCACCAACATTTTGCAAATACTCCATCACCAATTGCTTCTGCTATCTGCCGATTAGTCTCCTGAGTACCATAGGCAGCGTTCATATAAAGATATCTGCTGAAGTAAATGATCCAAGCTATACAGCAACGAAAATCGAGAACATCTTCCCAGTCATTGGACAGAGGGCGTGGGTAGCTCCATTCTGTGATTCTCTTCCATCCATAGGATTCCAGCTCGTAGTCTGCGCCACAGATCTGACAGTTTGTATTGTGTGTGACTTCAACCCACTTCTCCAAACATGCTGAGTGAGTTCGAGCTACTGTTCCCTTGCAATTGCACGGGCAAATCAACTTCGACTGCTCTTGGCTGTCATCCAGGCAGATTCTGCACAGCACTCTCCCATCAGTGCTCGCAGATGGCCTGCTTTCGCTGGAGGCCAGAATTTTCTTGCCGCTTCCTGCCGCTGGTGTGGCAAATTCCGAGTTGGAGGACGGTTCGTGGAGATTTGTGGCAGTGGTCGTAATCGGCGAGCTCAGCATTTCAAATGAGGTTAATCTCGCTTTGTGGTTCGTTTTTATAAGCTCTTATCAGCTTTCCACTTGTCACTGTCATTTTTCTATTGTTGCTGCCTTTGTGGTCGTTCATTTAATTTTTCTCTCGATTTTGCTGTCTAGTAAATTTGGAATGTAATGCTCCTGCTGCAACGACGTTTGCGCGGAAGCAAGTACAACCTTTTCTAGACAATTTGCTTGCCGCTTGTGCGTAACAAATGTCCATATTGCACATGATGTTGTTGTTTACGCGCAAACGCTGTTAACGCGAGAAAGGTATATTATCAATTACCACTGCCAAGTAGTTTTTTGACCACATCCTGTTCACAGAGGATCTATAATGTTCCTTATGAGATGTTAAAGAGGGCGCACATTTAACATGCTTCTTTTATTTTTTTTAATTTTCTATCACTGCAGCCGTGTCTGTATCGTGGACGACTGCTTTCTCATGCATACGAATTTTTTTTCAATCAGTCCTATAGGACTGATTGAAAAAAAATTCGTATGCATGAGAAAGCAGTCGTCCACGATACAGACACGGCTGCAGTGATAGAAAAAAAAATTATAATTAAGGTTCCATTGCGCTCTTGGTATTAGCGAAAGCTTCAGATTTTTGCAGCTGTGGAAGTGCTGAGGAGACACAAAAAGTTTGCCCGGGCATGCTATTTGAATTATCCGCTTTTTTAAACGCATATTATGATAGTTATTCGAGTTCTTATGCTCTCGGTCATTTTCGGGCAGTGATCGGTCGTTTACTTCATTTATTATTTCCAATTCTATATGCTTGTTTTCTTCTTTCACTCACGACCAAGCAGTATGAATGATAAGACTATCCTAATGTTACTGTTCGTGTGCTTAGAATTTTTCAAAGTTTTCACCAATTTTCGTTCTCCACTTAATTGCAAGTTTGTGTTTGGTTTTTTTTTGATTAGTCGATCTGTGCTTGTGACTCATCACACATTTACCTTTCTCGTTTTGCGCTCTCGCGCGTTGACTATCACGAATCTTGTATATTTTAGCCGCCGTTGTTCATATCATGGCGTTGCGGCTCATCTTGGATACTCTTCCTAAACAAGTATCGAGACGATGGTGTAACGCTGCAATCATACGAACATATTCTAACGAAAAGCCATTCAAATCACTCCTAGCCGATCATCGCGTAGCCAGTCCGTTTGCAGATCCAGCAAGGACGGTGAGTTACCCTTATGCGTTTTCTTCCACCTTCTTTCGTGATCAATGAGGAGAACGTTTTTCAGAAAACGAGGCCCTTAGCTGCGGATAGTTTAAAGTATTTCTCTGTTGCACAAGAAGATCCATCAAAGGGTAAAGAGGATGCACTCAAAAAGGCAAAATCCGAATCTTCTCCGACAAGCACGTCAAAGTCTGTGGAAGAAGTCAAGCCTGAGGTGGGGTTAAATGCCATGTATGGCAAATTCCCTTCAAAACATTTTTTATATCCGTGTAATTTGTGTTTTTCTCGATCTCTTGTTATTTTTTTTTTCTGTTAGCCGATTCTATACAAATAATGGATTCGTACGAATCTTCTTTTAGCCAAGCAAAGATCAGCAGGAGGCTGAGAGGCTCTCAGCTATTGAAGAATTGCGGTTGCTGAAGGAAGCTTTAGCAGAAGAAAGCAAGAGTGGTTCTGGCTCTGAAGGACCCAAGGGAGCTAGCGACGAAGTGAGTCTAGAACCGTCTTTCCCGTTTTTCCATATATCAAGGTATTTCTTTTTTTGTACTATCTCATCGTCTTCATGCTGATACTCATCTTGATACACTAGGGCACGTAATCTGGATTTTCCATCGAATTTCGGCTATTTGTAAAAAAAGCTTGCTTGTAGTAATAAAGTAGTGACTCGTTACTGTCACCTGCGCAACTGTCCGGAGCTATGCGCATCTTCGTAACTTGGCCAGTATTGAGCTGTTGTTTCCGTCCAGATTTGGAACGTGATCGTTTGAACGTTTTGTGCACAATCAAGTCAGTCTTTGAATGTGAGTGTTGTAAGGTCAGCAATCTTTTCCTAATTGGCCACTGATTTGTCCACACCGTGAAGTACCGGCACGGTAAAGTGAGGGTTATGTTGGTTTTTGTGATGTGATAAAAAAAAGTCATATTATAGCCTTTTGGCGTTTCTTCTTTACTCCTCATTCCTTCCTTCTGTGCTGAACTCAACCATATTACTATTTTAGCATACATTCGACGAGGATGCCGAAAAGGAGAAGCGTCGTAAACGTCTAGAGCGCAACACTCGAATAGGCGGAATCATATTATTTGGAAGCAGCGTTGCTGGCCTTGTTGCGTTCTGCTTATACTATGGTAAGTGCTTTTAACGACTTGTTTTTTTTTCCTTTTCTTCAGCAACTGCCTTCAGGTCGCAGTAAACGGGACCAGGCAGGAAATGTCATTCCAGACGAGTTTACCGGCTCATTTTTCGCACCTTTCTACCGCATTGCTCATAGCTTTAGGTTATGGAGAGATGTGGGTTGAGATAAATTGATCTGATCTGAAGAGTAGGTAACCTTTATTATCTTAGTTTGTGGTTGAGCCAGCTAGGGAACAGCTTCTTCCTGACCCTCTTCCCCATCCTTACATTCAACCAAGGTATACTCTGGTAATTGAGATGAAGAATGTTCTGGTACATCCTGACTGGACCTACAAAACAGGCTATAGGTAAGTATGCTTGTACATCCTTTCCTTCAGCATTAGTTATTGTCTCAATATTTTTTGCTTGCTTTATTTGCATTTTCTGTAGTCCGCACCGTATCTGAATACCCTTTGTACAGATTTGCAAAGCGACCAGCTCTTGAGTATTTCCTTGATGTTGTTGGTTATCCGAACTTTGAGGTAAACTCGGACTGTTCATATCAGTAAATCTTCACAAAATTGGGACTTGAGGTTGTAATCTACACGAGTGAAGCTATGATGACTGCTCATCCGGTGGTCGACAGTTTTGATCCTAAACAACGAATTATGTATAGATTGTATAGGGACTGCACCAAATATATGCATGGACAACATGTGAAGGTTAGTGCATGAACGTCCTATATAAAATGCAGTGGCGTACCCAGGATTTCGGCTCGGGGGGGGCGCGGCAAAAAAAATTTTCAAATGAAGGTGCGTGGCGTTAGCCACGCACTCCGAAAAAATTTTAGGCGGGCTTCTCAACAATTTTGCGGGCCCCAAACCCATAAAATCTGGAAAAAGGGGGCGTGGCATCAGCCACGCCCCCGAAAAAAATTTTTTTATAAGGCTAATTTGAATTTTTAAAAAATTTTAAAAATTATTTTAATTGTTTACAAAAATAAACAAGTCATTTGCACATTTTTATAACGCATGTAAGTAATTTTCAAAAATTTCGCGACCCGTTCTCGGGGGGGGGGGCGCGCGCTATACTTGGGTCCGAATCGAATAGAAATTCGTTCATTCGAATAAAACATTCGAATATATTCGCATTCGAAATTCGATATTCGGAGTTCTTCCATTTTCGAATAATATCCGAAACTCGAATAATTGAGAAAACGGGGTTTCGAATAATATTCGAAACTCGAATAATCAAAAAACAGGGTTTCGAATATTGTTCGAAAACTCGAATAATCAAAAAACGGGCTTTCGAATAGATTTTATTCGAATGTTTTATTCGAATGTTTATTCGAATTCGTATTCGAATGTACTCCGTATTCAGATTATTCGACTTTGTTGCAGAGCCAACTGCTGAGTATCAAGCTCATTTCGTCCGCGTTTTTTTTTCGCAAAACTCGGTAATGCATCTTTTGCAACCGGTAGACCTTTGAACTGTATGGAGAGTCGCATTCTTCCGACTGCTTGCGACAGTAAAAAAATCATATGTGGATTTTATTTGATGTTTTTTCGATCAATGAGACTGTTCGCACTGCTATTGGCACCAATCAGCAAAGAAGATATCAAATTCAAGCTCATGTTCTGGATTCATACTGAATTGAAATGGCTGTTCTTCTTTCTTTGCATTGCTCATGCTTGCGGTACGCAAAGCCCACACTAGTGAGCACTCTTGCTCGCATAAATTATTGCAAAAGCCTATTCGTTACCTTGGAGTTTTTTGCGAATTGGTTTATATTGAGTAAAAGACATCGCAGCTGTAGTGCAGGATTGATCGGTTTAGATCGCCGTACGCGATTTGCCAGTTATAGTGTGGACCCCGACCAGGTTCCCATAGGTACTTCCGCGGCGCGCACGCAGCGCGCGCCCTTCTCAATGCTTCTCGCCTCACTCATGAGCAGTAGAGCACATTTATGCTCACAAAGGAGAAAAGTGTAAAGTGGAAGCCTCTAGATTCGCTACGAAAGAGACGTATGCAAGAATGAAACGCAGGCAACCTCCATGAGCACCTCAAATTCAATCAATGGATGCATATTCCGAACTTGCACTGATGGATAGGTTGTAATAATCAAACGTAGAGAAATTAAAGAACAGCAGCATCTTTGAAGCATTTCCCTTCGTAGACGTAGAAACTAGGTGATCAAAGATTTCAGAAAAAGTGGACATTTAAGTAAACAAATGCCTATTGGCTTCTCGGAAGGCTCAATTTTGACTTGAGACACTGTCTATACCTTACACATCAAACCAAAAGAGACTCTCATTTTATACAAGAAACTTCTGAAGGGGTATTATCTTAATATCCAATCAAATTTCAATTTTTCAGAGAAAAAAGGGGAAAGACAAGACTGCTAAACAACACTGAAGGTCCTAGAACTAATAGAGCACGTGAAATCTCGTCACCGCTCATCGCGAATTGTTTATACCTGAAATAGAGAGAATACAGTACACCAAAAACAAAAAAAAAAAGAGAGAGAAAGGAGGATTTCCATCGGAAGCTAGGACAGGAGACGCACTGAAGGCGTGCGTTGCGGGTGCGTCGCGCAGGTACCTATGGGAAGCTGGCCGGGGTCCACACTATACGAGATGTCTTCAGATGTAATGGCAGCTTACCACAAATGTTTAGCGTGTACAACATACTAAAAAGATAAATGCCCTGCATTCTGTACTTTCAGAATAGGTTTTGGACAATTTGAGTATTGCCATACCACGTCGCCACTGAAATGCCTACAGTATGCCCGGGGCTACAGGGGGATTCGTGCTCGCTTCGCGAATATTAGAAATCGATTTTTGGAGAAGTTTAAGCTGCGGGGCTGGGAGTTGGTACAAGGGGGTGAGTGAGGGTGCTGATTATGGATAAAAATTTACTTTGTCGATTTTATCGATTTTTGGAAAATCTTGAGCTACGAGGTTGGGAATTGGTACAAGGGGGGGGGGGGTAAGTGAGCGTGCTGATTAGAACCGAAATCTATTTTATTGAATTCAGCAATTTTTGGAAAATTTTGAGCTAGGAGTTGGTATAGGGGATACTATGGGGCTGATTATGATTGGATCGGCTTTAGCCAGATATGTCGGCAAGTTTGAGATGTGATTGCTTTAGTTGTTCGATAAATCATTCGAATATTTATTCGAAATTCGACTTCCAATGTTCGAATATATTCGCTATTCATTCATTCGATATTTTTGATTTTCCGAATTTATTCGAAATTCATTCATTCGATATTTTTGATTTTCCGAATTTATTCGAATTTCATTCATTCGATATTTTTGATTTTCCGAATTTATTCGATATTCGTTTATTCGAAATTTTTCCTTTTTGAATTTATTCGATATTCATTCATTCGATGAAAAATTATCGAATTACCCAAGTATAGCGCGCGCCCCCCCCCCCGCTCCCCCCCTCGGTACGCCACTGATAAAATGGTATTTTTCGCATTTGTGTATATCAGTCTGACTCTTTGAATTGTCCTTTGTTTTCATTATTTTGTCAGAAATGCAACTTTATAAGTGGGCACTGTCGTTAACTGCGACACTCAGCTTTCACACTATTTAGCAATTGAATATCTGATTATTGCAATGATTGTCCGCTTTCCAGGACCTGTCAAAGCTGAACCGTGATCTCTCAAAGGTAATTTTCATTGAAGTGGATCCAAAAGCGGCTCAGCTCAACCCTGAAAACGTGCTCCTTGTCCCAGAGTGGAAGGGTAATATGGATGATACCTCACTAGTGGATCTCGCAGAGTTGCTCAAAAGTGAGTTCGTCATCAAGGATTTATGAGCTTCTGCTTTATTTTCTGGGACATCCTTGTTTTGTCGCAATTTTCCGTGAACTCTTACCTCGGAGATTAATAGATTGACGCACCAAATAACTGTGCACTTACCTTCTTATGCTTCTTTTCGTGGGACCTTTAGAGTTCAAAAAACTTGCAAACACAGTGGATTAGCTCGTATGAAATGGTGTACTCCATACTTTTTGTTAAACTTGTAAGTGTGTTGCTTTTATTTCTCATCCTCTCATATTCCAGCTATTCACTTATCCGATGTAGAAGATGTACGGCCAACACTGCAATATTATTCCCAGTTCCCAGATCCGGCCAAAGAATTTCGGCGGAGGGCTATCTATTTGGCAGAGCAGGTACGGAACCTCAACCATTTTACCCCTCTTATAATTACCTATATCGTGCAAGTTATGTTTTCAATCATTTGTCAGAGACATTGTCGTTCATGAGGTTTTATGTTGTAAATTTGATCAAAGTTTTTTAAGGAGGAACAAAAGAAACATCAGATGGAAGAAAGCAGCCATTCTTTGCTCAAAAAGTATTCTGGGCGACTTTTTGGCTACAGGCGACATGCTCCTACGTAAAGTTGTTGCACAGTTCATACTTGCATGTATCTTTATCTAGTCTTAGTCGTAGTTATAGCGTCTCGGTGCTTAATCTCAACAGTGCAGCTTTTTATCATCTCATATCGACCCTGAAGTATCATTGTTTATACGAACGATTCTTCTTATTTACATCCTTTGATGCTATCAAACATGGAAATCGATTTTGGTGTCATTAGTTTAGCGAATGGGTATGTCATTGCTTCTTTTTGTTTGAATGTCCACTCCAAAATACATTTTCTGATTATCGCTGAATCTTACCATACTCAAATTACGTTGAATCGGTGTTTTAATAGAATCATTTTGAAGGGAAAGATATATCTTCGATCTGTTAGTTTTGTTTGGGTGGATAAATTGGATGCGCTTATCTATGAAACTACTCTGAATTCGTGCGCATTCCCATTTGCTAAATTTGACGCAAAAAGTGATGACCCGATCATCTCTATTTTCATTTCAAATGCTCATCTTTGCTGATTTTCTCTCGCCCGAAGCTTTCTATTCCATTTGCCTTCCGTGGAGTGCCACTACCAATGGATCAATTGATGAATCATTTGTATTCAGCATTTGAATCTCTTTGGTAGTGTATACCAACGTTTTTGGACTTTCAATAATTTAGGATAGTTAGCGAAGAATTTTTGCAGTTGTTACGCTTTGCAGATACGGCTTGTATTTCAAATCTGCCGTTTCTTCTTGAATTGTTATAGCGCAGTTGTTCTTCATTTTTTACTTTTACTTACCAATTCCTTTTTGTTTGTTGAAATTCTTGCAAAGTTTCACATAGACGTGTACTCTATAGGTTATTGTTATTGTTGAAATTGATAAAATCATTACGAAGCAAGTTGGATGTCATGTGTGTCAGTCCTCAAGTTGTGCGTTGCTTTACTGTACTTGTCACTCCCTTTTACGTTTCCCTTATCAAGCGGAAATGAAGGTCACCGAAAGTTGCGCGCATGTTTTGCATACTTTCGATACGAGTTTGTGCAGCGGCATCTCCGTCATGGTCACTCGAGACATTTTCGTGAGGAAAAGAAAAGTTTGCACTGTGGGTGTAATTGTTCTCATCTTTTATGTGAAATTAGCAGATGATCACTTGATTTGGCAGGAAGTTGAACTTTCTTGACCAAATTGATCCATTGCGCATATGGGGCAAAATAAAATATTGCGGATTGCTTTGGAAACACTCACTCATACTTATTTTGGTCTTTCTGCTGCACGTATTGCACCTATTTCTCATAATTAGTTTACATTTATTATCCGCGTCGAGAATGATGCATTTCAGAAGACTAGCCAAATTTTTTTAAGAGTAAAAAACTCCTATGAAAAACCCTACCCTATGAAAAAGCGAGTTTCGCGCTAAAATATCTTACCTATAGGCAGAGGAATTCCTGCAAATGTTGATATTTTTCCTAATGGTTGTTCAAGTTTATCCCTTCATTTTACCTTAGGAAATAAAAGAATGTTCCCCTCCAAGCAACGAAAATACATAGTTTTGTGATTGTTCGCAAAATTCCTTTGGCGAACGATTACGCAGAGTTTTTTGCATATCAATGCGGCCTGACATGAAATGGAAAGAGAGAAGTCACATTATTGTTGTTTAACGTTCCTGCAAAACTTCTCTAGTTTCGGTGGCGTTTACATTACACTTTGCGTATCCTTTGGAGTGCATTATTTCAAACTTCCTTCAAGCCGTGATTCTATTCAAGTTTGAAAGCGCTGATAGCACAGAATGGCGCAATCGGTGTCGACCCTGCCCATTGTTCATTTGTTGATTTATATGCAGTATTAAAAGTACACAAATTGACTTCTGTTGCACAAATGTTACAGCTAAAGCATCCAGGTTTTAAGCAACACTGAACGTTTTTGCGGTTCCATGGATATATTTAGCGTGTTTTTCTCACTTATCCAGTCATTTTTAACTTAGTTTGCTTGTTGCACATCATGCGCGCAACTTGACGACTTGTAAAATTAGTACCTGCTTGTTTAGTGACTGCTCCTTGTTTTCTTATCTCTTTTGGCTTGGTTGAATCTGTATTATATATTATGTAAGTAGTACAAATTTCTACTGTTTGTTACGCTTAAAAATATTTTACTAAAGAGTTGTTGGCTAGGATGTCGTCAGTTGCCGCGCGTATTGTGCAGGCGCAAATTAGGTTGCAAATGATTTGATAATCGCGCCATTTTGACCTATTCCAGACAGCCATGAATCGGTGCGAAGATAAAAAAGATTTACGATCTTTATTGTATTACTACGCGATTTCTTTCGCATCAGCTTCCTTCCTACATTGGTCATACATCAGGTACAACCATTGTGCGTTTTCAGCAGCAGCGGTCGCATCCGGCGCGTTCAATCTACTCCCGTCGGTGGTAACAAGAATATTTGTTCGCCGGCGCATGGATTATCGCCTCTGACTGGTCCCGTCACTACCCGTTTAACCTCATTACGCTTCTTATCTGGTGTGTGCAGCAAAGGACAATCAAATCACAGCGCAATGGTGAGTGTTACCGAAATTTCGCTCGTTTCCTATTCTTCTACCGATCGTTGACCTCGTTTTCGTCATGCGACAGTCGTATTGACCTTTCATTTGTCCTCCGGTGGCTATTTCGCCCTTTGAAACACCTTATCGCATCATTTTCATATATCTAACCTCCAACTGTTACAACTTGGGCTTACTACGTGATTATTGTTTGCATATCATTGACTAGTACGCTAATCAGAAATATGAGAATTTCATTTTGAGCATTTGATAATTCTGCCACCTTGCAAAGCTTGAATGGTGCTTGTCGTTCTGTTTTCTGCAATTTGTCTATGAATTTCCCTCCAGTGACGTCAGTCCTAATCAAATGAGTGCTCTCCGCTTCCTCATAATCTAGAAAAACCTGGCCAAAGACTGTCAACCCTAGCATCATCTTTTATTCTGCTAATCAAGTATCAGTCTATTTCATTTTGTCAAAAACTGTTTTCAATTTTTTACATGAGAAATTTTGTGAAATCTGACCGGCATCTTTTTTTCTGGAGCTACCCAATTCTCTACTATCTATTTGACGCATTTATTTTCCTTTATTTTTACAATCCCATAAGACATCCATCATCGTAACTATTAAAACAACTTACTCAAAGCATCAGACTTGCGGTACTAAAATTGTCATCAAATTAAGCATAGGAATGACACTAAGTTTTTATAGCATCATTATATTATAATAAACACACATTATACATATATTCCTATATCATACGCGACATCAGTTTTACTACAAAATTGCCTAGAGATCTTGATGTCAAATTGCTAGATTTTTCAAAGTTTTTGGGCGAAGATTAGCTTACTAAGCTTATGCCAGATGTTGAATTTTCTTAGATTGGATAAGGGAGGGGAAGCAACTTTATCAGAAAATCTCTGCCTTCTAGTCATCTCCTTTTGGAGATGTCCATTAATCAATCCATAGGGTGAAACTAGCCATGCTACATTTTGAAAATGTTCCTCGAATGTGTAGCTTACAGGCTAGCAATTCTCTGATGTTTGCTTCCGTACCATCCATCCTTCGTCTTGTTGATTTAGCGCCTTAGCCCATCTCGTTATCCATCGGTTACCCTTGTTCGCTCAGTTGCTTGTTTTGCACTTGAAAGTGCCTTCTCTTAAACAACTAAATTTTTTTGAATACGACTATGCCGTCAAAATTTTTCCCCTTTGACAAATATTCGAGGGTTTGATACAGCTGCTTCCATTGCTGTTTGCATAGCATCTGTTTGAAATTCATTTGCATTCCAGACGTAGATAGCATTAGTCCAATATCGAATTTCTACCAGTTCTCTCGGAAAGCCTCAGCCATAGCAAATTTTTTTCCACATCGTCCATCTCCGCTTTTGTCCACACTCGAGGTGTATACTATACGGGAATAATATATGCCACCAACTAGTTTTGTGCCCATTCTCATTTCTCTGAGGTTTGGATGTGGCCTGGACCTGCGCAGCTTTGTCCACATCTGGTCTAGCTATTCTTCCTTCAGATATTCTTAGCCAAAACCTGATGCATTGTTAGTACGTAAAAACACTTTTTGATGTAACTGATAATTAAACGCATAACAGGTTTTGAGTACTTTGAGTATTACTCATTCCAGATGCGTATCCCGTGATTTTGTTAGGTTATACCTTTCCAATTCTAAATTTACCGAACAACCACTTGAGTTGTTTGCCTAGTCGCTGAAGCATACTTGTTGTTGTAAATCATATGCACGATCACCTTTTATCTGTTGCGCTAAGAGCATTATAAATTCGCCTGGACATAAAAATGCTATAACAAGCTCAGCTCTTAATGGTGCACGATTTTCGTCATGGTCATAAGAATTCTTCATTAAGATTTCAGTATTTTCTCTATTTTTTTGCATGATTTCTAGTTCATTGGTTTTTCGATAACTCCTCATTTCCTCTCGGGGTTACTGCATACTAGATTAGCTTTGTTTCATTTTCATCTTACTACACTCCTGTAAGATCGAAAACTCTTTTTCCGTTTAAGGCTTCTAACATAGTAGTGATTGCTATGCCACGTATTTTTAACCTTTGAGCGTTATGAGCTCCATAAGAAAAGCCTTTATGATTGCTTCTCCCTTGGACTTCGTCGTCTTCTTCACATTTTAAGAGTAAATGCTTGTTCTTCTATCAGAAGCATTTTTTGGAAGTAGAAATAAAACTGATCGTAAATGCCTGTGACTGTCTTGAAGCTACCCTTATCGCAAGTGGACATAGAGACTGTTGAACACAGAGCCCTTTATCTTACGATTAAATAAATTTTTTTTTGTTGTCTTGTTGTTTATGTTACTCGAAGATATCAGCCTACTCCTTGTTGCTACAATCAACTTCATTCTTAAGCTATCGATAGCTTACAAATATAGCGAACTGCTTTTGGCATTTTTAACCTCTCCAACGCTTTTTGGCTAGTAATTAAATCTATCTACGCCACTTGACAATTGACATTATAGTGTATGGTTGCTATCATACCCTCGAAAAAGACCACTTATAGCGCCAATAGTGTTTGCGAGCTCGTTTAATGTCATCGCCCGCAAAATTAGCGGTCATAAAATAATCCATATGTGCGTTGTCACTTCCATATAATTATGGCTTCTGTGCTAATTTATGTCACCTTTTGATTCAGACGTAGGTTTTATGTCTTTTTGTTGTAAAAATAGACATAATGTTTTCACTGACACTTTCAAGATGTTATAAATATGATGACGACCACCCACTCCGATTTTCCATCACAGTAGCGAAGGCTGTGGAATCTCAAGCTTTTCTTTTTCTGTCGCGTTGTATGTATCAGGAGTTATTATCGGATAGGATTGTTTTGATTACATTAACTTTCTATCTAGTGCACACAAAGCTAGTGTGAAGCAATCCGTGTATTGAATGCCAAGAATGCCCTAGCTTTTTTTCATCTGAGTCATGTGCATTTTTTTTTGGCAAATTTCGCCCAAAATTCCAAACAAATTACGTCTTTTCATTAGGTTTTTTATCGCCATATTCCATTGCTTCAGTGCTGCGTATGCGTCATTGCTTTCTGGATTCGATTACCAAATTGCGGAGGTGGATGACGTTTTGTTTGCTATCATTTTCCCGGGATTTGATCGCGCTTTGCCCAATACTCTTTCGCTTAAATGCACCTCAACGATACTATGAAAGCTAGAGTTGTCTTTGATCATCGTGGAACTTTAACCCCACTGTGAAGCCCATGAAGTTTCCCGCAGGTTTTACATCGTTTTTTTCAACCGACACATTTCACGCAAAAGTGGCTAATGAGCAGAGAAGTCGATGCAGGTTTTTTTCTCCATTTCTAGCAGCTACGATCCTAACTTGAATGACGTACAAATGAGCATCGTTTTCCAATCCATCGTTTTTGAATCGTTCTTATTCCGTTCATTCTCAAAGTTCGTGCTGTAGTTCTCTGAAAAAGTTAGCAAACAAATAATGCAAACACTGCACTGTGTGTCACCATTACAAACCTCTTTGGCGAGCTTTCTCTGTAATTTTTCAAAAGAAATCTTGAGTATTTTGGGTCTTTCTCTCTATGGTGTTTGAAGTTCATATTATAATTTCGTGAGTGAAGCTTTTCATTGGCATGCATATAGTGACGAGTCATAAAGTCATCAGACTTCGAATAAAGAGCTTTTTTAGTTATCATTCGAACTCGTAAAATAGTTCCCGATTTCCCTGTCCATACATCCAAAATTCGGCAAAAATAAAAATTGTGCATGCGCATATGATTTATTCCAATATTGATCATTCGAGGATCCACTCAACCATTCATATAGCAAGAAAGGTTAAGAGTAATACTTGCTCTAGTCCGACCGCTGCATGTTACCCTATTCGAATTTAGGCCAAACACATTCTACTTCAAAGTTAATTTTGATGCTTGAATTCACCTAACTGCGCTGATAAGTAAAATCTTATGATCACGGCCGGTTTCGCGTCGGATCCTTTTCGAATGGACAGCTCATCCGAACAAATTGCATTTGACCACGACTGACTTGTCCCAAAGCTTTTTGTTCAAACCAAAGATGATTCACTTTTGCATCGCCTAGGCGATTTGGGGCTGAACGAATCAGCTTTCTCTCTCCTTTTGACATTCCAGTATCTCTTGAAGCATGAGGTGCGGGACGATGGATTATGACCGTAGATCGGTTTTGTCAATTAGCCAGTTATTCCAAATTTTGTTTTTTGACTAAAAGTACCTGTCACTAGACCAGAAAAATTTTTTCGAATGGGAGTTGCTCTGAACGTCTGTCCAATCGCAGCAAAAGGCCAGCAGGTTTTTTTCTAACATAAGATTGCTTTGGTGCCACACGCTTTATATTTTTTTCGCTCCGGTTGTCGCGCAATTTAGCGTAATCAAATTGGGAGCGGACAGAAGAATCCTGAAAAAGTCGATCCGCCAGCAGCCCTATCTAATCCTTTGATATTCAAGGTTTTTTTGAATCATTTTGTTACATCATTTTTTGCTGTCGAAGTAGATCTATTTTTTTGCATAGCTAATCACTTGATTTTCGCGATAACAGTCATGTAATATATGTAGAACACAGACATGAGAGCATATGTCACATCATTGTTGATTCATGATAAGCTTGCATGCAAATTATCACAGCTGCCCCCTCCGCTTTGTCAGCAACAAAGCGCCGGTTTGCGTAGAAATTGGATTCCGAGCCGATGTTCTATTTGCTCAGCATTCACTCACTGATGCCGCTTTCCTGATTTAATCGTTTTTGACCTGGCTATGAACGTTTTGTTACTTCATTGTTCAAAATTTCACGATCAGAAACAAACTTTGTCAATATCTTGATTATTCTTCGACCGAATATGTTCTAAGTGCTAAGAAAGAAAAGGGAGGTTGTACTTGACTATCAAATGTTTGCATAATCATTGATCATACTGTTCCTGAACATTGAGAGGCTTTGTACACACCGAATCACCTTTGCATGGGCTTGCTTCTGTTCCATTCAAGTTTTTATT